CTTCATGCCCATCTGATGACATTCTGTGTGTCCTAGGCGTTGGGGGGAGAAATTGGGGTGAGGACAAAGCGAGGGCTACGATGAAGGGGGCCACGCGTGCTGGAGGTGAACCTGATGCCGAAGATCTGTTAATTATCTGCATTTAATGTTAAAACGGTAAGCTTGTTTGGCGCGCAGGTTGGACCCGTCTGCTGCCCCCTCGCCCCACAAAGTTCCTATACTGAGTGGGGGGAATAGAAGTGTTCCTTCGCGGCAGAGAGGTGATGTCAGATGTTATGGCCTGATGCTGGAGCTGATCACTGAGGCTGTGCACTGAAAGATTCTGGAACGGTGTAACTGCTCGTCGCGGGCACGTATTTAATTATTTTTATTTCCAATCTCTCTGTGGAGCACTTGGAGATGCTTTGTGGAGCACCAAGAAGAAGAAGAAGAGGAGGAGTCTGGATTTGATATCCCGCTTTATCACTACCCTAAGGAGTCTCAAAGCGGCTAACATTCTCCTTTCCCCTCCTCCCCCACAACAAACACTCTGTGAGGTGAGTGAGGCTGAGAGACTTCAAAGAAATGTGACTAGCCCAAGGTCTCCCAGCAGCTGCATGTGGAGGAGCGGAGACGCGAACCCAGTTCTCCAGATTATGAGTCTATCGCTCTTAACTACTACACCACACTGGCTCTCACCAAGTGCTCCCCAGAGCATAGTTGGGAACTGCTGCTCTACAGACAGTGGTGAAACTGCATGCTCCAGCACCTGGGGTGGAGAGCAGGCGGGGGCATGGCTGGCATGCCGCTGGGTGTGTGTGGTGTGTGTCCCGGGGGCGTGGCACGTCGTCCTGGGGGCGTGATGTGCGTCCTGGGGGCATGGCATGCCGCCTGCAGGGGCATGGCGCCCAGCATAGTGGGGGTGCATTGTGCATGTCTGGGGGGCGCCCGCGATGGTACCCCCCTCCCCGATGGTGCTGGGGATGGTGCGTTCCCCCACCCCATCCCGTTCCTCTGCCAGTGTCTACACACACAGCCTTATACAGAAATAGGACTCCTGTGGTCATCTTTATGTTTAGCTCCAGCCAGCACAGTCAGTGATCAGAGATGAGGGCAGCTGAGGTCCCAACAACTTTAGAAAGGCCGCAAGTTATCCATCCATGAGATGGTGCATCATCCATTCTCTAGTGTGACCACCCTTGTGTCACACAGAAAGAGTGCTTTAAAGGTAAGGTGTGGTGTGTCCCACGCCTCAGAAGTTCCACAACTCAGGTGCCACCGCTGAGACTGCGGCATCTTTTTTAGCCACCCACCTAGCCTTAGAAGGCAGGAGCACCTAGAGAAGGGTTTCCAAAGACCTTAATAGGCAAGTTCCTGTGGAAGATTTTTAGGGTGGATCTAGACACAAGTTAAAAACGCTATAAGTCAGAAATTAAATTGTTACAATGAAAGAAAGGGGAAAAAAGCCTACGTAAAAATCCATATAAACTCATTTTTGCTCTCTGGTATTATAACACATTCAAAATGTATTATTGTGACAAATATAGCTGAGTCCCTAATCTTTTTAGTATGGCAATCAACAAATCCAAAATTACCCAGTACGGTGACCCATCAATTTATTGTCACATGAATTTTGGACCTTAGGCAGCCACAGATTTCATGCATTTTAACTGAAAATGTTTGCCTGTTTTATAAGCGTCACTTGCAGCACCCACCCACAAAAAATCTACTTAGCATCCCTATTAATCTGTAATTTGGTGAAGTATTTATACTACTATAAAGTTGGTTTAACAATTTTGTTTATGCAGTGGTTGCTTGCTTTAAGAGGCAAATATCCATCAAGGAGAGCAATTTGAAAGTAACCAATCCCTTCTCTAAATGGAGACAAAAAGATAAAATGCAAAGGTTTTAATTTGTTCAGTAGTTATGCTGAGTGGTATTGTAGTCCTTTCCCCTAATCCTCAACCCCAACCAGCATGGCCAGTGGTGATAGCGGCATGAGGACAAAATTCCCCTATCTCTGCTCTAATGTACATCCTCTCCCATTTTCAGTGGCTTGTGCATTGTGAAAACATCAACTTTGTGTTTAAAAATTCGTGATGCAGTAGTTAGTTGAGGTCCCTGCTGAACAGCAGCAGGATTTTTTTACCTCCTAGTTTTATCAGTTTTCTATATGCCAATGTCATATTTTCCCAGAGCTCGCTAGATAGACATGTCCCTAGATACAGTAAATGATGTGGTGGGAGACTGCATCATGGAAAAGTATTAAAAAGGGAACTAAAATGGAGTGTCAGCATTTTGAACTGGCGAAATGAGGAAGGTCTTATTCCAGAGATTATTTCTTAAACACAGTATCTAAACAGGCATCAAATTGCATTTTAAATGCATAGCCCACGCAGGAAAGGTTAGCACTCTGTGAAGGAACCTGTGTGTTTTAATACTGGATAGAGGATATATAGCAAGTTTGTTGCTGTGGTTACTCGTTGGCTAAATTTTAGAGCTTTTGAAGCGAGGCTAACCGACAGCCAAGATTTTAAAATTTGAGCCATATGTCTTCTGATGGCTGATGGTTTGCCAGCAATCAGCCAACAGCAGGCAAGTATGCAGATTTTCTTTCTTAAATAAAGGCTTGGGAATAGAATGTGACATCTCGAGAAATTGCATTTGCCTCAAAAGGAGTTTGAATGCAAAATTGAGCACCAATTTACGAACGGAACAGAGGCAAAGATTACATCAGTAATAGGCGGGGGCGGGGGGAAGAGACAGGAAAAATGTGGTCAGACTATTTTTCTCTCTTCATCTGAGATCTTCTTCTTCACCTTAGTGAACTTAGGTGGTCAATAGCTCTGTTGGCTTTGGGTCAAATGTCCCCTGCAAAATTTCCTGAAGTTTTTTTGTTTTTTAAAGACTGAAGTACAATACTAATTGTATCTACTCAGAAGTAGGTCTTGTTGAATTCAGTGGCACCTACGCTCAGGTAAGTGGGGTTAAGATTGCAGCCTAAATCAGAATACTTCTAAAATAAACATTCCAAACTCAGTTTTGCAACACCAGCTTAAGTAGCCCAGGCTGTAACTCATACACTTTATGCCTAGTTTGAGACGAGGCAGATCCACACTATAATGAAATAACTAATGGAAGTATCATGCAAACAAGAAAAGAAAAGCCACCGGGGCAGAACACTGCTATCAGGATTTTTTACAGTCAGCAAAATGTGTGAAAAGTCTCCAAACAAAAAAGTGCAAAAATGATTTAAGACCCATAACATCCTGCCAAAGAAGTTTTAACCCATGGTCATGAAATTTACAGGGAAAAACCAGCCCCAGGCAGTGGGATAGAACATAATACTGTGTTGTACTTTGAAGACCTACAAGCAGGCAATACCGACATTGTACAAGCCTAGCCACTTTCTCCCCAACATGGCTCTTTGTGGGACATCCCAGACTTCTGCTTGTCTGGCTGCGTTTCGCTGGGAAAACCCAATCTTTTAAGGTTTTCCATGGATCGACATTTGCTCCGATTCAGCACCAAGAGCGGGTTTTTCCAGGGGAAATAGAAAAATGCTCAACCCCATGCCTAGAAAGTACAGGACAAGCAGAAAACCGCTCAGACAAGCAGAAGTGTGGACCAGCCCTTAGGCGGGATGGTCTTGGGTTCTGATAAAATGGATCAACTCCATGCAGACAGCAGAGCTGCCAAGTGCCCTCTTTCCAAAAGCAGCCCTCCCAGCTTATGTACCCAAGTTATGCAAACACTAAGGGAATTCCAGAATCGGCCTTTGACAGAGTAGCTGTTCCAAATGAGAGCTAGAAGACTGCAGTACCAAGTGCCTAAGGACCAACACGAGTCCAAAAACCATGGCCTTACAAGATTAGTGTTTTACGTATTATTTTGTTACCAATGTTAGAGTCAGAAGTTCACGTGAATATGTAGGAGATGATCTGGTTTGCTTTTAGCCTATGGGAAGTTTCAAATGGCGCATTGTCAAATTCTGAGTTCTTTCAGCTTGGCCCAGTCCAGGGGCAGTCTTGGCTGTCAGGGTTTCTCTGGCAGATTTTCTACAGTAAATATTGAACTAAACATTAATGTTAAAATATTTGGCTGAATATAGCATTAAAAAAATTGCACCAGATGGTGAGTCAGAAAGTGTGCGGGCACATTTGGAGTGGGAGGGTTTGTGGTGGCCACCAGCTGAAACCATTATAAACAGAATACACATAGGCTCTGCAACCTGCATGTCTAGGATACAGCATCCTTCTCCCTTCCCCAGTGCCCTATCATAGTCTGAAGAATCTCACCTCAACCTCTTTAATACCTTCCCATCCATTATGACATACAGTGGTGCCCCGCAAGACGAATGCCTTGCAAGACGGAAAAACCGCTAGACGAAAGGGTTTTCCGTTTCTGAGCTGCTTCGCAAGACGATTTTCCCTATGGCCTTGCTTTGCAAGACGAAACGTCTTGCTAGTCTTGCGTTTTTTCTCTCGCTTTCCCCCCCTTTTTCAAAGCCGTTAAGTCGCTAATAGCCTTTTAGCAGCTTAGCCGCTAATCCTTTAATAGCCGCTAATCGCTAATAGCGCTAATCCGCTTAGTCGCTAATAGGGTTGCTTCGCAAGACGAAAAAACTGCTAGACGAAGAGAATCGCGGAACGGATTCTTTTCGTCTTGCGAGGCACCACTGTATCAGCCCAGGATACAGTCTGAAAGTGTTACACGTGACTGTTTCTTCAGTAAGTGATGTGAGATTTAAGGTCCGTACTGTATGGTTGAAGGGAAGTATTGTGTTATTTTATATGTTTTGTTTGTGGCGGATATTGAGCTTTTAGCTGCCGCCAACCTTTGACCTCTAGTGTAACAGAAATCTATGCTGAACAGGTGAGATTTTGGATGCAGAACCTTCCGTGGATCACTTTTCAGGGTGCAATCCTAACCCTACTTACCTGCAGGAGTAGAGGTGGTTAGGAGAACTGCAGCCCTAAACTAGCTGATGGTTCATTAAATGAACAGAAAAGACACTGATATTCAAGTGAAGAATTTGTTGTATATTTATTATTCACAGTTAATTACTAACTACCAAATGCTGCTGCTGAGTTAAAGGTTTAAGTACATAGGCCTTTTTTTATTTAAACACTGATTTTTTTTTTAATATATATATACACACAAGACATTATGTCTGCAAGGCTGCATGATATACACCGATTCCAAAATAAGAAAACAATCAAATGGTCCAAGTGTAGAATGCCATAGATTCCTTTTCCAATCATTTCAGAAAGAAGAAAGTATGGGGGAGAGGGAAAGAAAAAGTCAGCTAGCAAGGAATGGGTGAGAAATCAATACGCTACAGGGTAGCTTTTTCTTTCATCTGCTGGGAGAAATGGAAGTGTAAGGCAGAGTCCATCTCAGGAATAACACACTTGTAACACTTAGTATAAAAAGGCACCTGCCAACACAGGAATTTTCCCCATTTGGGCGGAAAAGAAGATATCTGTGGTAGCTTTGGGATCTGTTGTTGGGATGAAAGTTTCAGCCATGTGGCTCAGCAAAAGGAAATAAGGTGTGTATTGGCACAAAGAGCTCTGCAGGTTGCTCTTCCCTGTCCAAGTCCATTCATAAAGCTATGAATGGCTTTAGTGAATCTTATCTGGGGGCGCAAGATTGAAATACAACCCCCAACAGCCTGCTGTAAGTTGGAAGAAACACAACTCCTCCAACTATGTAACACTGGCATGTGGAGACAGGGAAAATCTGAAGCATGAAGATACCAGATTCCTCTTTTCGAGAACAAGTCAACGACTCTAATCGAGACCCAGTCTCTCTCATATATATATATATAGCATGTGTGTTTATAAAGGGGAACTGAACTGCTTATCACTAAGCATCATCTTTAATTATATACTTGGAAAGCACCCAATGTGTAATTAAGCACAATTTCTTGATGCCTCCCTGTAATATTTTTTGGGGGAAATGACAGTTTCACAGGACATCCCAGAATATTCAGTCTCCACCACATGGCAGCGTCATACAACATGCCACATTCTTCATAATGGTGCAATCTCTCTTTTCTCTCAAGGGCCCCTGGCTGCAGGTCCTAGCCCTGCCTCTTGTAGAACACTTTATGTCTTTTCCCACCTGGTAATAAAGAATATCAGGTGCTTATACACATTTTAAAGCTCCATCTGGTTTATGGAAGGCTTCGTATTTAATAATAAAGCTACATCCCTCCCATTCAACCCCTTAAATATTTACATAAAAGCAGGGGGGGAAATCTGAAAGCTCTGGACTGTCCTTTTAACTTAAAAAAGAATAAGGAAATGAGGGAAAGGCACTAATGGAAAAATAGAAGAATGTGCTCAACCACACACTTAAACAAATTTTAAAAGCTGTCATGGTTAATGAGAGCATGATCTAGCTGTAGCAGAGAATTTGTCACGACAGCCTGCAACCTGTGGTGGTAAAAGCCCCACCTTCTTCCCTTTGCTCTGAAGCAGCTGGGTTTTCAGATGGGAGGGTATGTAGGCGGAATTAAGACCCTATCTTACCCAGGCAAAATACTGAAGGCAAAAGTAAAGTTGGCATATGGCATGTGTGTGTTTTGCTTTTAAACTGGGTAGTGGATTTGGTTCCTTTCTCGGTCCCTTCATGAAGGCCGTTTGCATAAGTAGCAAACACCAGCAGAGCTTCTCCCTCTTATCTTCCTTGAGTGGCATGGCATGGACGTCATATAGCATTAAAACTTCATGCACTGATGAACTGGTGTGTCAGCGTTGGGGGAGAAAGGACAAGCGAACGAAAGGGGCCACCCGGAAGTAACCGAAGAAATCTGTTAATATCTATTTAATTTAAAAGGTAAGTTTTGGCGCGCAAGTTGGACCCTTCTCCTGTCCCCTCCCCACAAAGTTCCATACTGAGTGGGGGGAATAAAGTGTTCCCTCTCCGGCAGAGAGGTGACTCAGATTTATGGCCTGATGACTGGAGATCACTGGCTGCACTTAGATTCTGAATGTGTACTGCTTCTCCTGTTTCCTTAAATAATCTTTAATAATTTGCTCTAGATGTTCCGGTTCACTGGGGTCACGTAGTTGCGTGGAAACATGCCTGTTTGGTCGTGGCAGGCTCCCTTCCACCAGTTGGGATCGGAATTGTCAAGGACCCGGATAAAGTCTCCACGGCGAAAGCCCAGCTCACCTTCCTCTTGAGGGTCAAAATCAAAGAGAGCCTGAACATATGTGGGTTGCTGCAGACCAAAGAAAAGAAGGGTGAGTTATTAATTGCTCCACACATCTCCAATTTTCATTCTCTGCTAATGGTGAGCCAGTTCTGGATCCGGTCCTGCCTAGAAGCAGTTGCTCACCCCTTGGGTACCAATTTGGCTTCTACTGATTTTTAAAAATAGAGTACACCACATAAAATTAATATACACTTACGTTAATGCAAAAACTGTTTTGTTTTTCTTGAGTTTTTTGCGTACCAATGAACCTGCATTGAAAGGGTACACTACTCACTAAAGAATCAGGTAAACAGTTTGGCAGGTGTTGCTAAATCTGCATTATCACTGGAGGACCAAGAAAAGTCTGTGGCATGCAGTGCCTTTCACGAGTTAAGCTTAATGGACTAGCTGTGAACCTTCACTGGCCGAGGTTCTAGCTAGTAGTGTTACCCATGTACTGGCAAGCTTGAGATTAGACTCCTGCAGGAGTAGCCAATGTGAAATACAACCCCCGTTATATTTGACCAATGGATTGGTGAGAGTTGCAGTTCAATGTTTGGAGGGTACCCTATTGGATTACTGCAAAGCACTGTATGAGAGGCTGCCTTTGCAAACTTTTCAGAGACTGCAAACAGTAGATCTCAGTAGTATCCAGAGCAAACTATAAACAGTTCCAAACACTGGCTGTTTAAAGCCCTAAATGACTTGAGAGCTGGTTATCTGAAGGACAACCTTCTACTTCCACGTGAGATTGCCTATATCCTGTGTTCACCTTCAGAGATGCAACTTTGCTTCCTACCATTCAAAGTTAGGTGGGTAGCGATACCACCTTATCAGCTGCAGAACCGCCTATTTGGAACAGCCTCCCCCAGGAAGTTCACCTTGTGTCAACTTTTGATAATTGGTGGTGGTGGTTGTTTTTTCTTTTATTCATCCAAACATTTGAGCAAACTGAATTGCAACCAGTGCTAATGAGAGCAAAATGAAGCCTCACATAAGGAAATTCTCTGCCCAGTTCTCACTACTGTAGCCTCTACCATGGCAGGAGGCCATAGGCAATCGTGTGGGATGGGGCAACGCACATGGGGCAACCCACCACCACATGGATCTTTTTATTTCAGTCTTCTGCTTGACAGTATTGACTGTGTTGTTGCTACTAATTATTTTTAAAATCAAGTTTCTGTGTGCGTGTGTGTAATATGCACAACAGCCTGGAAGCCTTATAACAAAGGGAGGCTTGTACATTTTCTAAGTGTGGTATCCTTAGCCACTGTAGGTACAGTGTACAGTGAAAGAAAGGCACTGTAGTAACAAATATTATAAACCGGCAGCCTCATACCCGGCCTTGCTCAGGAATTCTAAGAAACCAAAGTATCAGTGCAGTTTTGAAAAGTGGAGTCTGCCATCTTGATTCAGAATGGTGCCCATTTGTATCCCAAAAGAGATGAAAACTTGCTCCTCGATCTTAGGAACCATCGTGCAAAATTTGCTTACAATATCTTAAGAGGTGGCTAAATACACAGTGGACAAAAGAATGCTCCAAAATATATAGCAGGTATTAGAATTGTGCTTATACTCCAAACTGTAAAATCCCCTAAAACACAGATTGGCGTAAGGTTATTATTGAATAATATAGAACATTTGAAGATGGAAATGAGGCAGAACTCCACTCATGCTCCTTTACCTGAGGCACCTGCTCAATGTCTCGAAGAAATATCTGCTGATTCCTGGAGACAGAGGTCGATCTGTGATAGTCTACCAACTCATTCAGAGAATTGAACTTTACCACCCAGAGGAAATACTTGCCAGCCCCATCTCGAAGCACCTTGAAGTGCTGCACATCATTTCCAAATCTAAATAGAAAGAGAAGAACATGTCCAGGCTTTTATTTATTCTTCTAATGTGTATGCCAATGCATGACAGGTACTATTGTCTGCTGTTGCTAAAGCAAACATTTGCACGTACACAGGCTAACAGTCGAGCATTAGTCTCAGACAAGGCATGAGTCCAAGGAAAGGACTCAGTCCTTTGGAGATATTTGGACTTTTTCAGAATCCCAAGACAGACTGGATCAGAGGTGACCCAAGGTGAAGCAGGCTAGCTCTAAGGCTCTGGAATCTTGGGAGGGTTCTTAATAACCTCGCTTAAGCCTTCCATAAATGGTAAACTCCAGGCAGAGAATAGGAGAGGAGGCAGGAGAGGAAGGGTGCCTGTAAGTGACAGTTCTAGCTTCAAGCAGGGAATGGCTTTACCAGGACTCTCCTCTTATTTCCAATCTATATCCTTTTGATATAGGATACCAAAACTTTGCACTTTCTGTGGCCTTGGTGCAAACTGAGCAGATTTTTTTTTTAAAAAAGACGTTAAATATTGTTTTTCATTTGTAACTCCCTAACCCCTGCATCTATCCTTCTGAAGTTTTGCAGGGAACGTATCTGGGGGCATTTCTACATTGTATATTATGTTCATCCAAACACAAGCATATCAAACCCTTAACATAAATGTCACACTTTAAAGGCATTTCACATAGAAAGCCTTGCAGCTATGCTTGAAATTTGGCAGGCTTTATTGCCCTCAGAAGTGGCCACTATGCCTGTAAATAATTCTGCTCAATATTAACTAAAGGTTATAGGCGTTTCTTGCTTTCACCCTAATAGTCAATGGGAATGACATCTGAGGCTTCAGATAATTAGGTGAGTTAGCCACTTTCCTTTGACATGAAGTGAGGCACAATGTTAATCCATGCCAGCGAGGCAGGCACTGAGTATTTTCTCTCTCTCTCTAAGCTAACAGGACCTCTTGTTGGTTCTAGGGAAATATGGATTTCAGTGATTCTTGAACGATAGGTGGCAGTACTGTGCTATGAGAAGTCAGCATGTGTCACTGATTACCACTGCTAATAAATACATATGCTGGTTTTATAGTAAAGGTATAATAAACTATTAGAATGAACATTCTATTAATATCTTGGTTTGATATTCCCAACAGGTTTTCATTTGTACCAAAGCTGATCTATTACAATGTAGGAGAAGACAACTGAAAGAAACACTTGAGGACTATTCACAGAGTCTAGAACAAAAGCACCAAACTTCTACATACTTGGATAGTCAAGAATGCCTCTCCCCTTACAATATGAGACTATCTGGTAGATTGCATGGTAGCGTTTGGAAGGGCAAAGCTATGCAGAAGGACTCAGCAAGGTACATGTGGTTTTCTATTTGTACAGTATCAATTCATGTAGCTAGAGTTTAATAATTATTTTTATTTGATTTAAAGGAAACAACAGAAGCTATTTACAAAAGGCGATTAGAGCCAAGGTGGAAACAGCACCTTATTTGGAAACATGCAAGTTGCTGAAGGATACCTTCAGAGATGAGAGATTCGGGTGATAAATCAATGAACACAAAGACCCTTAAAAAGTGTAGAATCCTGGAGTTAACAGTGATTTCCCTAGGGTATTATGAAGGATTCTATATATTTGAAAAGCATTTTACAACTTTACCAGCCCTAATTGCAAAATGCCTGAGGTTCGAGAAGGAAAGCACTAAAAAGCAAGATGGTCAGGGGTGGAGGGAGAGAAGAGAAGAGAAGAGAAAGCAGGACAACCAATAAGCGTCCCCATATATCAAGTTACTGCACCAACATTTCCAAGTTTTGTAGTCAGGGAAACAAGGACTATATTTTATGGCAGAAATAAGAATAATTCAAATAGGCTTATTTCACCTGCAGTTTAAGTGCAGAACGTGTTTATCAACCAACTATAATGCAACACTTACTTGACGGAGAGAGAAAAGTCCCCGGGAGCACTCTCACTCTCTCTTATGAGGAAGGCACCATCATGTCTCTGTTTGCCCAACATCTCCTCAGCTTTTGCTCGGGGGATCTTCCCAAAAAACCACCTGTGCAAACACAGTTGAAAATTAAGCATAATTCAAACTCCAAAAAGGCAAGTTTGGATATGTTCATAGCTGGGAAGTAATCTGACAGGTATAATCAATTGAACTGTTCCACGAGGCTACGCTTAAATAATGTTTTTAAAAAGTAATTTTAAAGATTGGAGTGATATAAAACTGGAGATTACATAAATACATCAAGTTCCAGTAAGTAATAGATACCACTTCATTTTTTAAAAAAGTCAATTTCCTCAACATCTCTTGATTTAGCAAGTTTTGCCATTTCCAAGGCTTTTAACCACTATAGGAAGAGAGGCAAGAGAATTTGGCTGAAACAATGAGATTCAGGATTAACAAGTTATAGATTCTTAGGGAACTTCTTCCATCCTTTAAAATTATTTGTAGTGATTTAATTTCTTTACTTCAGATTCCCGACAGCAAGCATTCCCATTAAAATAAACCACAAACATTCTACTTTTAGCAAAGCCAGAATAGTGACTATTAGGGCAGATAGGATTTTGCATCATTTTGCAACTCTGCTTTATGGGTGCCAGCTATAGTTGCTACCTAGGAAAGCTTTGTTTTTCATATACTGAATATAAGCCCCATGATTAATGGCATTTGGGGGAACACAGTTTAAGTTTACAAGTGCCTTTAGGACTATTCACATTGCAAACCATTTTGGAAGGTAGATCACACAAACCCATCTCAAACACTTAGAGACAATATGGTATAGTGGCTAAAGGAGACTCTGCTACAAGTAAGGAAGTTTGAAATCAGAAATGTTTGCCTATGTCATGAAGTCATGACTTGGATTTAGGCAAGCCTCTTTCTCAGCCTCAGTCCTCTGCCCCCCAAATGCAATATGGGGGATAATACTGACCTTACAGAATTGTAAGGATTACTAGATAGTGCACGTTAAGTGCCTCAAACACTAGAAAGCACTTTACAAATGTTGCATTAATGCCTCTCTGTGCTTTCCATTGCAAGATCTGTCAATAACTTAAACACTTGTCACTGATACTTCTTAGTAGTTAGAAAAATCTGGCTCTGGAAGCAATGGGAAACACACAAGGCTGGTGGATTGATTCCCGGCCTCATGTCATGAGAGCTGCATCTGTTCATCTTCTGATTCCACTTTCATATGTCAGATATAGTACTGGAATTGCCACAAAACCGACTTTGGTTTTATATTGGGGCTGCATTATATGGCTTATTATTCCAGAACTAGACAGAACTTTTCTGTAAGCACAGTAGTGATTCAGACAAAAGAAGCATGATCTGTAAGTTTACATTATGTGCAGATCGCTGCATGCATTCTAGACTGGCTGCATTGTTGGGTTTGGTCAGAAAACTACATCCCAAACTGTTAGCAACGTCTACAAGAAAACAAAAGCCGAGGTGCACTTGCAGGTCTGCAGTTCACGGCCAGTGTCTTCGCAAGGTTTCATTTCTCCCTTTCCATGTACATGTTGCCCTGGGTTTCTGCCTCAGAAACTCAGCAACCACAATTTCAGCCTCTGAAAATGTTTGCGGCCAGTCACCATGGAGCCTTGTTATTGAGAGCTCAATTTGTTTCACATTCACATGCGAAACGTATCAATAGAATGTAATTGAAGCATGCTTCCTTATTACAGCAGTCAACCAATTCAAAACCAAACATTGCTGTTTACTAATGGACAAAGTAACCTGCATTGATTGTGTAATGTGTTCAACTTCTTTTAACGGGGCAACTCTCTTTGCCAACTTGTAATGCCTAAAGGCCATTCCTCCTGATAACCAGAGCTATCCTGAGGTAAGGTGTTGGGGATCTGTAGTCCTTAAAAATATCAAGAGGCAATTGTTATAGATAACCATAAGAGGGGAAAACACAACTTCCAAAACAATAAATCTAGCACCAACTTAACACCAATGTGGAATCTACACACATATAAAAAAATGCAGTGAAAACTGTTTTTTAAACTGCTGCTATCTAGTGACACATTTGTATAATGCACTTTACAACATATTAAAAATGTTTTATTTGCAGCTGTGTAGCTGAGTCCCAAGATAAAATGAATGACGTTAAAACAAGTTTTTTTAAAAAACAACAACCCAAAAATAAAACACTCAAATATTTTAAAATGAAAAGCAAGAGCAAATAAGGTCTTCACCTAGTGCCAATAGGAATACCAAAAAGGTGCCCAGTGAGCCTTTACAGAAAAGGCATTCTACAACTGGAGCACCAGCAGTGAAAAGGGACTTAGAATATGACCCTAAAGTCTTGTTAGTTAGCAAAACTATGTGACCATGTGAATTCCTAGAGAGGAGCTTGCAGTCGCTTCACTCTTTTCCAGTTCTTTTTATTGATGCCCAATGCTGAGCTAAGCCAAGGTTTGGTGAAACATGTTGTCCAAACTGGGACTCATGGTTAAGCTCTCTGCTCACCAACCACAAGTTGTAGCCAAGATTTATTCTTGCTTGTTTGCTTCCTACATTTGTGAAATATCATTCAGTGTCTCAAAGAGACACCTGTACTGAAGTTTTGGAAAACATAAAAGAGTTCAAATCCAACCAATTAACTGCTTGAAACAGTGATGAGTAATAGAGTAAAATTCTTTAATTGGCTGGCAGCCTTAGAATGACCCTATATTGAAATTAAGCCTAAGTAACTATGACTAGATTTGCACAAAGTCCTCTCCTATTAACCTTGCCCCTGTTTAGATTGTAAGCTCTTTAGGACAGGTTTTTGCTTATGTTATCTCTCTTCAAGAAGGCAGTAAGTGAGAAAGTAGAAATGAATGGAAAGGTCTGCATGGAAAGGATGACTAGAAGAATTAGAAGTATTTGTTGAGATGGAGAAAAACTGGAAAACTATAAGCAGCAAAACCCGAGAATGAATGGCAAAGGTGGGTTTCAAAATTAGATTTCAATTGGAACTATTGTTTAGTGAAAGGGTTTCAGGGCTGAGATTTTACAAAGAATACTGTGTAGGTTTCTCAGCACAGGCTTTGTGCTGCTGGCAACAGAATGTGTATACACAACTTAGTGAACAGGAACTTGTCTTCATTACATATCCTCAGTATTGAGACCATGTAGTACTTAATATAGTGAACGATTGCCTGCTATCAATGGAAAGAAAGAACTAAACATTTAATAAGCTGTCAGCGGTAATATTTTACAGGAAATACTGACTAGTAAGGACCACACATCTAGTATAGAATATACAAAGATTTTTAGTAAGTTCACCAAGAAAAAGAGTCTTTTTGGTGAAGGGGAAAACAGACAGGAAATAATTTTACACTAATGAAGTGTGTACCATTCGCAAAGGTTTCCTTTTGAACAGTTAAAGCCTGACCAGTACACAGCAGAATCAAATGTTATGTTGGGTGAAGCCTGTCTAGTTCAAACTGCAACAAAAGCCAACAACCTGGGCTTTACTGTTGATTTTGCAAGACTCACAGTGAGTGTACTGAGTGGGAACACAGTTCACATGATCCACTTTGTTGCTGCCAATGTCAACAACCAGCACTACAACCCCTGCATTGATGGCATCCCTGCTATCCAAAATATGGTCAGAGGATTGATGGCTCTCATGGGAATGAAAAAGTTTTCCAGAGATATCCTTCCTGCATTGACAACTACCAGAACTGCAAGTGAGCTTGGCCAGAATTTGGCCCTAAGCATAATGTCACACACAGAAGTCATGGTACTTTACTTACGGATGTGGTTTCATTTCAATATAATTTTTGGGAATGAAGCCATCTTTGCCATTGAGTTCCGCCTTGTACCAATTTTGATCACATTCTTCGTTCAAAACCTGGGGGAGAGGGGATTAAAGAAACACAAATTTACATTTCAGGATAGCATGATGTTGATATACTCTGATTTAAGCCTACTTTATGAAAAGCCAGATAGTTTCAAAGCACTCTTACCCTACTCCAGTAGCTGAAAAGTAAATTAGACCAAGTCAAACTACATTCTGTAGACATTTCAAAGTCAAGGCATATTCTGACACTCACTATGAAATATGGAATTAATTGTGTTATAGAGAGCATGTATTTTGTCTCCTAGGAGGACCAGGCACTGGTATGTCAGCTCCATCCAATGCTAAGCTCTATTACCTTTAAAAATCCATCACATGATCTACATAAAGCTATTTTATAGCCTATTACAGCCATTGTTGAATTGTACTGTGTACTTCAAATCTGAAATCCTATAACTGGTTTCTTTTTAAATTTACCCTTCAATCAGCTTTGTATTTGATCCCCTTCTCCTATTAAGATTGTCTTAAGAGCTCTTTCAAGTCTTAAAGCAGCTCACACTTCTGCCTTTCATTGGAGGTCTGTATCATCCAAAAAGGAACATGGATGTTTCCGCAGATGAAGCAGAACTCCACACACATTTGTGGCCCTCATCTCACCCCCATGAAGCCAGAGTAGTCCAACCTTGTCTCTAGACATGTGACAAGCTCTTCCCAAATTGATGTACTCCAACTGAAGGGATAGTGACAAAGATGCTTTGTTTATTAGCTAATTTGCTTCTATGGAATAAGAAACACAATACTGTATATTTCTATGAAAATTTAGAGGGCCTTTTTATTGAACAGTCACATAATAAGAGTAGCAATGAACACAGATAGTAAACAATTAAGACATAAACACTAAACACAACTTCACAGGGCACAACTCTAAAGTCCGCTTAATATGCTCATTTTAAATCTGGTAAGTTTAGCTGATTGCAGTAATTTATTAATGATTTCAGACCTCCTGTTAATATTTACATGGTATAGCAAACACTTGTGTCCACACATGCCATACTCTATACCATTTCTCACACAGAGATATAAAACACAATAAAGCTTCCCTATATAAAAATGCACTGCATCAGCAGAAATCTGGAAGCCAAACATTTTCATCAATCTAGGAAGAGAACTTCTCTTTGTAGACACTAGACGTGATGTGAAAATTCCTGCAGAGCTGAAAGCCAAGTCAGTAATTAATCTAACCAAATTGATGGGAAGTAAAGCAACTGTTTCTTTTATGCTAGAACATTTGTGCTTGAGAGGAAGGATATTTTTAGCAGCTACACATGAACCAAGACTGCTATGCAATGGCCTTAAGTCTGTATCTAGCCTCCTATTACAGTAATAGTAAGGGAGTTCTGGACTGCAGCCTGTCAGATTCCTAGTTTGATAAGAGAACTCTCATCAATTCACGCCCAGCTGTCTCCATGGAAACAGAAAAGACAACTTTTTCTGCAATAGCTTGAAAAATCACAAGAGATTCTCAGGCCAACCTAGACAATGGCCCAATTTCCACACCACATTAAATCACAGTTTTAAATTAACTATGGTTTCATGTAAACAAGCACTGTGCTGGTGCACCCTACTAAAGGGTTCTGGGGGCACTCTTCCCCTGTTCCTGCATAACCAAGTGGTGGCTTGTTCTTCAAATCAACCTTTTTGCTGCAAAGACCACCAAAACCTCCAAAGCATAATATATTTTCTGCATTGCCCAGGTTCACCACAGTGAGATCATCTGATTAAATGTGTTATCATTCAGACAGCATCAAAAACACACTAATTCTGTTAATTTTAGGCCCAAAGGCTTTGATTATGTAGTGTTGCTCATGTGTGAACATGAAGGCTGGCAATATCAAACCTATCCCCGCCGTGTGGGAACCCCTTGCAGACCACCACAGCGCCTGGAGACAGACAGGTTGTGCATCCATAGCAACAACCAGAAGAGGACTGACTGCTGGGAGGAGCACAGAGATAAGAAATGCCATGGTGCATCTGCAGCAGCACAACTGAAGGCCTTCATCTGCTCCAGCTGCAACAAAACATGTTGCTCCCCTATTGGTCTCTACAGCCATAGCAGGCACTATAACCTTTCAACAAATAGTTTGACTTCGCCTCCAAAGAAGCACTCCTCTATTGTCTCCTGAGACAGACGGGTGTGAACATATAATATTTTTCCTACATGGAAGACAACCTGCGCGGAAATATTACCAACGCTGAAAATATTTAGGGAATCTCAAAGCTGCCTCTGAAACATCACAATAACGTTAAATGGTGTACACTATATTCTGTCTGTAGTTTCTCTACTTCATTAACGATCAGAGTAAATGGTTTGTTGGGACTAAGCTAGACAAAAAGCTGAAATGCACAGAATATCCTTGCTTACACTACAGAACTTGAGAATGTATTAGGGGATAGTAACAGAAAAGAAATTTACAATTAAATATTTAGCTATTACCCCTTGGGGAAAATCAGAACCAGTCATTTAGCTTCTGACTGCTTCTCTTTAGAGTCATGCATTGTCCTGGATATTACAAACCAAACCAAAAAGCCATTCACTGTTTCATTTCTGTCTGCTCCTTTCACTCACACGTGCCACTTTATTAATCTTTTAGTGTAGCCTGTCGTTCTTTTAAGCAGCTCAGCCCTCATCATAGATGCATGCTAACTCCCATGAGCTTCCACCCCAAAAGGAAAAAAAAATTCTTAAAAAGAGGAAGCAGAACATTCTAAGAGACAAAGAGCTGCGTTTACTGCGAGTGCAGTGAGCAGTCTGAGAGCACCAGCCCCTTCTAACTAGCTACAGCACTCAGGATGTTATCAAGGAAACAGAAGACTGAACATCCTTCCTTATTTGCAGCTCAATCTACATTTAACAGTGAAACTGAGGAATACAGCATTTATTCAGGGAACATATGTATCAGTTCATACTTAGGTACATCCTAGTAATATATATACAGCAGCTCCCCATTTCCAATTCTGAATGTCTGCTCAGGGCCCAAACTTGCAACTACGTTATAGCTTAGTAAGTACATACAGTACTATACTTTTGAGTTATTTACCATGGGTAGTTTTTCCTTACTCTTCAAATTACACGTGTTATATCCTGGTATATTCCTGTTTCCTCCCACCTCTGAGCACCATTTAGCAGCAAACGGCCGCTACTTATACAGTGGTACCTTGGGTTAAGAACTTAATTCGTTCTGGAGGTCTGTTCTTAACCTGAAACTGTTCTTAACCTGAAGCACCACTTTAGCTAATAGGGCCTCCTGCTGCTGCCACGCCGCCGGAGCACGATTTCTGTTCTCATCCTGAAGCAAAGTTCTTAACCTGAGGTACTATTTCTGGGTTAGCAGAGGCTATAACCTGAAGCACCTGTAACCTGAAGCGTCTGTAACCCGAGGTACCACTGTATTAAAAACCCAACAGCCTCCCTTTTTGTTTACATCAACCTCAAATGTGTGCACAAGCTTCCAGTCTATTTTGTAAAAACCTCAAGAACTTTCTCATGACACGAAATTAGGCCAGAGCTGGTCTAAATTTAATCGAAACCTAACTTGTGCTTACATTGGTATCTGCTAAAAGCATTCCAAGTGTCAGAGTGCGAGGTTTAAAGTAGAAGTGTTAGCCCCTTTCCTTTTCACCTGGGTGACTGGCCTGGCACATCTTCTTGTTCACCTCAATCTCTTCCTGCTGCTCTTCCTAAGTTCCTGCTGGGAAAATAAACGAACATGCCAGGCTGCTGTGATTGTCAATTGTTTGGTTGCTAGAAACTTAAGAAGTCTGCAGCTGGGATGTACAAAGCTGGTGCTTTCCCCCCAGGCAGCTGAGTTACAGACCACATAAATTCATTATAATGTAGAATGGCTCAGTCCCTTCATAAACCAAGGTGATGTGGACCCCCGGCCCTGCAGTCATTTGAACATGCTTCTCTTATGCTTTCTACGCAGTATAAGTGTTAGCCATGCATTACTGAGGGACCTCACTAGAACTTAAGGATAAATACAGGTATTAAGAAGCTCATCAGTTTCTATTATCTTTAAAGTTCTTAAACGTTTGTTTTAAACTCAGTACACAAATTCTTAAAAGTCATTCCCACCATTTCCAAGTTTGGTAGTCTGAATGCCTTCTCCTCCTTCGCTTCCTACTAGAATTACTATCATAGTATTGCATTAGGGGGATTACCACTTCTGGTCAACATTAATGAGGTTGAGAATTCTCAGCAAAAACACTGTGTACTTAAAACCAAGATACCATTACCACACTCAGCTTCCTGTAACCAAATCAGGAACTGACACTGATCAAATATCTAAGAATGTGATAATGGGACTAATGTATCTCTATCTACCTTCTCGGCACCTTCAGAACTCTTAGGTGGGGTTGGAAACTGGATCTGGCCAACGGCTGATACTTGCCTTCCCCACCAGTATGGGTCAACTTTAATTGGGGCGGGGAGCACCATGGTTGAGGATTTATAGAAGCTGTATTTAGTGGACACATGTAGAAAAGAGTAAAGAGATACATTAACTGACATCATGTGGCACCTTCAAAGGGGCGAGCTGTAACTGCGGATCAGATGATACAGTGAACCTCTATGAAGAAGGTGTGCTGTCAATGCTAATCAGTTGAGAACGAAGCTTCAAAAGGTGCTTGTTTGGCTCTTTTGGAGCTGTGTTCTGCCCCACACCCAGTGTCACATATTCTGGGACCCGGGCCAGGACTAATTAGGCCCACAGGCCAGAGGTTCCCCACCCCTGCTCTTAGGCATTTGTCTTTTCCATATGCTTTGGCACAACTTTTGAAATTGGTCATGCCAATATAAGCGACTTTGATCTGAATAGTCTTTCAGATGACATTGATGATAATCTTCTTTGCACAACCATGTGAAGAGCTTGTTTATCCATCGACTAATTTATGTGTTCTTTCTATATCCCTGCCTCTTTCCACCCATTTCCCCTTAATGTCACCAAGCAACTACCAAAGACAATTCATGCTTTGCCACTAAATGCAGCTTCTGT